GGTAGTAAGCCGTGGGCCCCTTTGAATGGCTGGGCCCCAGGGCAGATACCCCCTTTGCACTCCCCCACTGCTGGTCAGCAGGCCTGGTGTAGACTAGGCCTGAGATTTGCCCAGCATCACACAGGAAGTTAGTGGCTGGGTAAGGAATATAACACAGTCCACAAACGGTCCTCTTTCTTCAGCACTTAGGCTCACACCCATCCAGTCCTTCCTCTTCCTGATGAAATCGCCAGCTAAGTCCACATGGGAAAGTGAGTGTTTTGATGGGAACATCCAGTCCGATTGCCAGATACACATCACATGGGTCATCCAATAGTAAAGATCTCGGGGCACTGCCAATGTGGGCTGCATTTGAATTGGCAACCTAGCAACGCTCATTATCCCTTGAGCCATCCATGTCCCCAGCATGATGTCACTTTTGAGGTCCATGCATACTTCAGACATGTACTCCCTCCTCCCCACTGTGTAAGAGGAATAGTTAAGAACAAAATTTTAGGGGGGAGATTTTCAAAGGTACAAAAGCATCCGGTGCCCATCTGCACCTTTGGAAATCTGCACCAAATCCACTGGCTTTGCTTGGTTTAGGTCGCAACCTTCACATTCCTTAAAGGCGTTTTTGTTTTAATTCTTTTGCATTCTTTTAAAACAGTAGATTTGAAAAAGAAGGAAAAGGGACGACATAAAAATCTCCAACATCTACCATTTTTCCATTTTCATCGTGAGCATGGGACTGGGACTTTTGAGTTTAGACTGGGACTTTTCAGTTTAGAAAAGAGGAGACTGAGGGGGGATATGATAGAGGTATATAAAATCATGAGTGGTGTAGAGAGGGCCGATAAAGAAAAGTTATTTATTAGTTCCCTAAATAGAAGAACTAGAGGATACCAAATGAAATTAATGAGTAGCAGGTGTAAAACTAATAAAAGAAAGTTCTTCACACAGCATGTAGTCAACCTGTGGAACGCCTTGCCAGAGGAGGCTGTGAAGGCTAGGACTAAGGTTTAAAATTAATAAAAGAAAGTTCTTCTTCACACAGCGTGTAGTCAACCTGTGGAACTCCTTGCCAGAGGAGGCTGTGAAGTCTAGGACTATGATAGAGTTTAAAGAGAAGCTAGATAATTTCATGGAGGTTAGGTCCATAAAAGGCTATTAGCCAGGGGATAAAATGGTGTCCTTGGCCTCTGTCTGTCAGAGGCTGGAGAGGGATGGCAGGAGACAAATTGCTTGATCATTGTCTTCGGTCCACCCTCTCTGGGGCACCTGGTGCTGGCCACTGTCGGTAGACAGGATACTGGGCTAGATGGACCTTTGGTCTGACCCAGTACGGCCGTTCTTATGTTTTGGTTTTATGCTGCAATTAATTTTAAGTGGCACCAACCCCATAAGTGCTTTAACAAATTAGAACACACTGAAATAATTGGACATCAGTAATAAAATGGGTAAACTCAAGAGTTGTGGAATTCATCCTTCTATACAGAGTCTCTGTATTTCTCCCCTAATAGTCAACATCAAACCCTCGAGGATCAGACTGGAGACTTTCTGGAGACTGACGAGTAAAATCTGTCAGCAGTGTGCAGGAAGATTCTGTTAATCATAAAGGAATTAAGAGACAACCCTTAAGTATCTCCACTTTCTACTATCTTGGAAACAGCTCACTTAGTCAGGGGTGAAGGAAGGAAGAGTGTGAGCTATATATTTGTATCACAGAATATATCAAATTCAGGGTTATAGTAAAGTGTGTTTATTTTGTAGATAAAACAAAATAATAGTTTAAAGACAATAATTACCTTGAGTTCATGAGAAAGAACTAAATTACTCATTTCATCTGCCTGCTGTCGAAATGCATGGTCTCTCTTTTTAATTTCTGCATCAAATTCCACCAACAGCTCCTGTAATGTATTGCAGGGAATGGATTAATAGTCCCATAAAAAGTCATATACTGAACATTTCCCATTATTGCCACTACTAACGCAATTCCACTGATGGGAACAACAATGGGAATCCTCATATAGACCATATATCAGTTACCACTGTGTCCTGACCACTGTGTTATCTAGATTTGTTCAGAGAAGAGTTAGACAACATACTGGCTAAAATATTATGTCCTGCATGCAGTAATTTTCTCACCATTGCTTGCACCAGTGGAGCTATGCCAATGCAACAACAATAATAGGGATTTAAAAAAAATCAGTATAAACATAGCTCATGTGTTATCGAAAATGGCATCTTCCATATCATTAAAGTCAAAATGATCCACATTCGTAGAAAATATGAGATTGCCAAATGCATTTCTTTACTAAAAACTACTATTTATTTGAGAGAGTTTATCTGTCTGTCCATCTGTTCAAGAACTCCTCCTAAACGGTAAGTGCTAAGACCACTAAATTTGGTATACAGCTTCCTCTTATCAGAACAGAGCAAGGTCAGGGCTTGGTTGTGCCAAGAAAATGGGATGTGCCTGGAATGGGACTGCTTCTCAGAAAACCATATGAAAAAAAGACAGAATCAATAGCCAGGTAAATCTTCTAGTGTACATATATTAAAGTCATATTCCTTTATAATAAATATTTATCCAACTATGCAACCTATAACTTTTGATACAGAAATGTGAGTTTTACTTTAAAACTTACTTGAACAGTGAAATAAGCTATATTCCCATATGGAACTAAGAATGTGCTGCTTCTACTGGTACTATTACGGGCTTTCCTTCTAGAAAGATGAATTATCAAACAACAAGCAACAACCTCAAACTACCAATGACAATAAATGAAGCAGATTACAAAATGTGAAAACACAGAATAAATTATTTCAGCACAATTTTTGGTCATATTGTGTATTAAGGTCCAATTATAAGTAGTTTATAAAGGGATAATGAATTTTTAAAATGTTAATTGTTATGAATAGTGTGTTATAGGTGGTTATAACCATATCAAGAGAGGAGAGCTATAGATGGGTCAAACACAATCTACTGACCTGTTGGACTCCATAATAATCTATAACAATTGGTTAAAATTCATGTTTATCACTTATGAATATTTTATAAATGCAACTTGACAGTAAAGCATGATGACTTTTTCTATTCTTGCATAAATTAGATATTATTTAGTTACTTGAACCATGAACACTACCAGAAAAAAAAATCTAAATCTTCGTAAAGTTTGGCACAAATACAACTGGAGCTATTAAAAGACTTGAAGTGATGAGACAAATCAATTATTTTACTTTAAAAATAAAAGAACAGGGAGTCCTGGGGCACCATAAAGACTAACACATGTATTATGCCATTAGCTTTCGTGGGCTGCAGCTCACTTCATCAGGTGCATGAAGGGGAAGCTTCAGTTTGGCAGGAGTGTATGCAATGATGGGAGTGTAACATCAGTGCTAATGAGGCTAATTCACTTAGGATGAATGTGGTCCACTTCCAACAGTTGATAAGATGAGAAAGCCCAAAGAGGGGAATTAATTTTTGTATTCAGACCCATTCTGATGGTGTCAAGTTTGAATATGAATTCCAGCTCAGCAATTTCATGCCCCAGAGTTTTTTTGCTCAACTATGGCAATTTTCAAGTCTTTTACTGTGTGTCCAGGGAGAATAGAGTCTCTGATTGAATTAGCCTCATTAGCACTGATATAACAACACTCCCATCCCTATATACACCCTTGCTAAACTGAAGCTTTCATTTTATGCACCTGATGAAGTGAGCTGCAGGCCACCAAAGCTTATACTGTGATAAAGGTGTTAGTCTTTAAGGTGCCACTGAATTCCTAGTCTGTTTCATCAAAAACAACCAACATGGCTACCTCCCTGAAAGTTTTACTGATGTTAATAAAATTACTCAAAACATCATGACCTGGATGTTATAAAGAGAATCACTATAATATCATAACATCACAGAACAATAGGGATGGAAGCATACGCATGGGAACTAGCTGTGCGGGGGGGGGGCAGGGGGGATGACTTTAGAACCACCGGGTATTGCACAGGGTCCCAGCTGCCAGCTCTGTGCTCAGGGTCCCAGCACTGCCAGCTTTGTGTCTGGGTCTCTGATCCTGGTCCCATATAGGGGGTCCTAGCTACAGGCCCTGTGCTTGGGGCTCTGCTCCTGCCTCCCAACTGTGGTCTCAGCCCCCTTATTCTTATCAATGTCTCCCTCTACCAGCTTTGGGGAAAGGAAGCACAAACAGGGGTAAAGGGGAATGTGAAGTAAAAATGTTAGAAGCATTCACTCCACACCATTATCCAAGTACATAATGAAAGTATTGAATTGTACCAGACCCAGGACTGAGACCCTCACAAAATACTCCATCCCCATTTAAGATCAAACCATTAATAACTACTTTTTGAGCATAGTCTTCCAGACAGCTATCCATACACCCTATAGTAACTGAATCTAGACACATTTCCCTAGTTTGCTTATGAGACCATCGTATGGAATTGAGTCTAAACAATACATGTACAGGCAGTCCCCAGGTTACATAGATCCGACTTACATTGGATCCCTACTTACAAACGGGGTGAGGCAACCCCGCACTAGCTGCTTCCCCCCAGCAGACCAGGGAGACGCGAAGCTAGCGCCTCCCCCCCAGCAGACCAGGGAGATACGGAGCGGCTTTTCTCAGCAGACACCTCAGCTTGAGAATAAAGGACTGAGGCAAGTGAGGTGTGGGAGAATAAAACTGAGCTCTGGAGAAATGTTTGGCTAGAGTTTCCCCTACAGTATGTACCAGTTCCGACTTACATACAAATTCAACTTAAGAACAAACCTACAGTCCCTATCTTGTACGTAACCCAGGGACTGCCTGTAATATATTTTAATTTTTGCAAGACTTGTGTCAAAAGCCATATGAAAACCACAATATATCATTTCTACTGCCTCCCTCCATCTAGTAGCCAAAAGCCCTGTCAGGGTAGACACCTGTTAAATAGATGGATTTGATGATTATATTACTGCATATTTTGCTAAACAAAAACATAAAGCTCACCACTGTAATGACTGTCACTTTGTTTCTGATATTTACATTTGTAAGCTTGAAATTTCCTAAATACAATTTTTTAAAAAGCGGAAGTGAGTATAAATTATCCTACAAAATATTGTTTTTGCAGTATGTAGGGAGTAAGATACCTTTAATCAGGTTACACAATTAGAGCTCAAACAAACTCCATGGCTAAGCATTCTCACATTATGATATGATTGAGTATTAATAGCAGCAAATGACTGAGTGTTAACAATGGCATAAAAAGCGGGAGGAGAGAGTCTTGAAATCAGAGAAGTTCAGCATGCTGGCACATGTTAATCTGTGTCTTTAACCCATATGCCAAGCCTAAAACTGCTTCTGATTTACAGAAGCTGACCTTTCCTGGAATTTGAAGGCTAGCCAATTTAGCACAGTGTGCTGGCTGTATCACCATATATAAGAATCTTACTCCATCCATCTCAGTTTACTAAATGTATCTTACCAATTCTTCCCAAAGGGAGGCTGCCAGACTAGTAAGTAAACCAACTGCCAGTATGCAAATACCACATGACACCTATTACTGTAAGGTAACATGCAATACTACCAATTGGACATCTTACATTAATGGGTAGTTAACATTAGAGCTAAAAAGGACTGCCTGAATAGCTATTTGATAAATACACCTACCCAGAGCATTCACCTATAATTCATAATTCTCACATGAGAACGGATGGACTGTAAAGTAGAAATTCCATCTACTGTGAGTCATTTAACACAACATTGTTTTTTACAGACTCCAATACCTGTTTTTGCAAAGCAAGCTCTCCTTCCACTTCTTGGAGTTTTTGCTCCAACTGCTGTTTTAGCTTCTTATACTCTTCACATGGATGATCAATGTCTGAAATCTTAGCACTATAACAACACAAAACCAATTTATATGAAATGTGGCCAATTATGAACTATTGATATGACCTTCTGAAAAGTTCTCCGAGCAACAATACATTCATACAAATATAACTTGCTAAAATGGAATTTCTTAAACAAAAATGCATCTTAACTTTCATTCACAACAAAGTATTGCAAAATAATTATTTTAATTCTTTTACAAACAAGAAAATATTTAACAATTTAAATAGATTTTTCAGATCAGAAGAGACCCTTATAATGATTTTTACAAACTCCTGCATAGGTTATACAGCCAGTCCCCGACTTAAAAAAAAAGTTACAGACCAAACACTTGGTCGTAGTATTTATGACCGCTTAATAGGAAGTTTGATTGTAAGTACAAACGGTTGTAAATCGACCGTTCATAACTCGAGGACCGGCTGTACGTTCTGGTTGAGCTTCAGTGTATCTTTTAGTCTACATTACAAAGACAGTATAGTTATATTAGCAAAGCCTCCTAGTAGAGATGCAGACTTACCATCAAAAAGAACTTTGTATACTTAAGCCACCTCTCCAAATGACAAACTATTCCATCAAAAAAATACCCTACATGAGGGTATTTACCAGCATAACTATGTCAGGGATGATTTTCCACACTTTCTAAAAGATGAAGCTAGGCTGTCAATTCTGTAGTGTAGACCTGGACTAATGAATGAAAGACTTCAAAGGATGGAGAGTACACCTCATCTCTTTTAAGTTGTCAAGTGGGTATTACCCTAATTGTTAAAAATTTGTGACTCATTTCAAGTTTGAATTTCGCTAGCTTGAATTGCCAGATACTGGATCTCATTATGCCTTTGTCTGATATGTTAAAGAGCCCTCTTGCAACAGATATCTTCTTTCTGTGTAGTTACTTATAGACTAGAGCATGATCAAACCATCTCTTAACTTTCTCTTCGATAAATGAGCTGGTGCACGCTTGCCCTGCACTGGTTCAGCAAAGGTTAACCTCATGCCAAAGAGGCCACACCTCCTCTGCACTGCTGGGCATAAAAGCACAGGGATGACATGCATTCCAGCCGCCAATCTGCTGAAGCCTGTGACTAGGATTGCCAGATAATCACAAAAAATACGGAACATGCTTAAGAAAAAATTGGTTGAGCAAAAAAAAGAGTCCTGCACCTTTAACACCCCCCCCCCTGCCCCCGGCTCCCCATGCCAGACACAACACACACCAGGAGAGGAATGTTTTCCGTCCAAGAAAAAAAGAAAATACCGTTTCTTTTTAAACCAGACAGAAGCCGCAAATATCGGACACCTGGCAACCCTACCTGTGACCATGGGAGTCAAGACTCTAGGATGCACCACTCCAAAGCTAAGGGTGGTTGGGTAGACTCAGCCCCGGGGTTATAAGTGATCCCAACCTAGAAGTGATCCCAACCTCAACACAAGAGGGGACATGTTTGTCTTGCAACAATAAACTAAATAGATCAAGCGGCGAGGAGTCCTGTGGCGCCTTCTAGACTAACAGAAGTGTTGGAGCATAAGCTTTCGTGGGCAAAGACCCACTTCGTCAGATGCATGTAGTGGAAATTTCCAGAGGCAGGGATAAATATGCAGGCCAGAATCAGGCTAGAGATGACGAGGGTGATCCAATCAGGGAGGATGAGGCCCACTTCTAGTAGCTGATTTGGAGGTGTGAATACCAAGAGAGGAGAAGCTGCTTTTGTAGTTAGCTAGCCATTCACAGTCTTTGTTTAATCCTGAGTTGACTGTGTCAAACTTAAAGATGAACTGTAGCTCAGCAGTTTCTCTTTGAAGTCTGGTCTTGACATTTTTTTGCTGCAGGATGGCTACCTTTAGATCTGCAATTGTGTGTCCAGGGAGATTGAAGTGTTCCCCTACAGGTTTTTGTATATTGTCATTCCTAATATCTGATTTGTGTCCATTTATTCTTTCACGTAGGGACTGTCCAGTTTGGCCAATGTATATAGCAGAGGGGCATTGTTGGCACATGATGGCACATATTACATTAGTAGATGTGCAGGAGAATGAACCAGTGATGGTATGGCTGATCTGGTTAGGTCCTGTGATGGTGTTGCTGGTGTATATATGTGGGCAGAGTTGGCACCGAGGTTTGTTGCATGGATTGGTTCCAGAGTTATTATGGTGCGGTGTATAGTTGCTGGTGAGAATATGCTTCAGGTTGGCGGGTTGTCTGTGGGTGAGGACTGGCCTGCCTCCCAAGGCCTGTGAAAGTGAGGGATCATTGTCCATAGTGGGTTGTAGGTTACTAATGGTGTGTTGGAGAGGTTTTAGCTGAGGACTGTAGGTGATGGCCAGTGGTGTTCTGTTAGTTTCTTTCTTGGGCTTGTCCCATAGCAGGAGGCTTCTGGGTACACGTCTGGCTCTGTTAATCTGTCTCCTCACTTCCTCGTGTGGGTATCGCAGTTTACAGAATGCTTGTTGAAGGTCTTGTAGGTGTAGGTCTCTGTCTGAGGGGTTGGAGCATATGCGGTTGTACCTCAGTGCTTGGCTGTAAACAATGGATCGTGTGGTGTGTCCGGGATGGAAACTGGAGGCATGCAGGTAAGTATAGCGGTCGGTAGGTTTTCTGTATAGGGTGGTATTGATATGACCGTCACTTATTTGTATCGTGGTGTCCAGGAAATGGACCTCCCGTGTAGATTGGTCCATGCTGAGGTTGATGGTGGGGTGGAAGCTGTTGAAATCATGGTGAAATTCTTCCAGAGTCTCCTTCCCATGGGTCCAGATGATGAAGATGTCATCGATGTAGCGTAGGTAGAGAAGGGGTGTAAATGGACAACAGCTGAGGAAGCATTGTTCCAGGTGAGCCATAAAAATGTTGGCGTATTGTGGGGCCATGTGGGTGCCCATAGCAGTGCCACTGGTCTGGAGGTATATATTGTCTTCGAATCTGAAATAGTTGTGTGTGAGGATAAAGTCGCAGAGCTCAGCCACCAGTTGTGCTGTGGCATCATCAGGGATACGGTTCCTGACAGCTTGTACTCCATCTATGTGTGGGATGTTAGTGTAGAGAGCATTTTTATGGCTGACCTGGAACAACGCTTCCTCAGCCTGATTCTGGCCTGCATATTTATACCCAGGGCTCGACAAATTCTGGAAAACCCTACTCTCCATGCAAAAAAGGGACTTGCCACCTTCCCCCCCCCAAAATGTGGTTTTTTTAATAGCATAAATTCCTAATAAGAATAAGAACAGTAATTACTAATAAGTTATTAATAAATATCTTATAAACCTCTACCTTTTCCCTCTGCTGCCATGTCTCCTGCCCTTGCTCCATCAGCTCCCCTGGTGCCTGCTGCTCCCCCCTGCCTCTCCCTCCTCTGCTGTCCTGACTCCTGCCCTTCTCACTGCCCTCAGCCTTCCTGAGGGTATTGGAGAGTTGTCTGGCAGCCTCCTTTAGGTAGTCAGGCCTGTTCATGATGACAACAGCACCTCCTTTGTCAGCCTCTTTGATTATAATGTCAGAGTTGTTCCGGAGGCTGTGGATGGCATTGCATTCTGCACGACTGAGGTTACAAGGCAAGCGATGCTGTTTTTCCACAATTTCTGCCTGTGCACGTCGGTGGAAGCATTCTATGTAGAGATCCAGATTGTCATTTCGACCCTCAGGAGGAGTCCATGTGGAGTTCTTCTTGTGCTGTTGGTGGGAAGGTATCTGTGTGTCACTGCACTGTTCAGTGTTGTGTTGGAAGTATTGGGCTTCATCCTCCCTGACTGGATCCACCTCGATAAACTGTGCAGTAAGCTATTTGAGACAAGAACCATACCTTCCTCTGTTTCAAGAGGTCTATGTTCTCTGTTTTTTGTATTGCCAAGCAATGTTCCCTATAACTAAGAGCTTGGGTGGCCACTCAGGAGAGATTCATCTGCCGCCCAGCTGATTAGGCCCTCTGATAAATAGATCAAGTTTCTTAAATCTGTCAGTAAAAGGCAGATTTTAACTCATTCTGGTGGTTCTTTAATGAACTCCCTCTAATTTTTCAACATCCTTATTAAAGCACAAAAACCAGAATTAGACACAATATTACAGTCATAATCCTTTCAACATCATAAACAATAGTGGGGCAGACAGCCAACGCAGGACCTGTGGCAAAGTGAGGGGAGCACAACTCTGCACCCCCAGAAGGGACAGGGCCTTGGTCAATCAGCCTTAGGTGCCATCCAGACTGTGCCACGGGCCTCCCTTCCAGCCCTCAGAGCCTTGCGGAGCAGAGCTCCAGCATGCCAGCAGCAATGTAAACGGGCCTGGGGCTCTTGCCACAGCTACAGTAGCAGAAACAGCAGTCAGGAGCTCCAGGCCCCTTTGAATTGCCAAGCCCCAGGGCAACTGTCTCCCCCTCATCCCATTGGTAGGCCTGATAAACAAGAAATACCACTTCTTAGGTTCTATTCAATATTCTTCTGGTTATGCACCCATGAGTAACATAAAATCCTTAAAAAAAATCAAAAAGATTATGTCACACCCTCGCAAAGAAATTCAGGAACCACCTTATTGGCATTCTATACAACAAACAGAAGAAAAATCAAGGAGGAGCTTTCAACATTAGAAACTGTCATAAAAAAACCAAGCTTCCACACACACACTTCATCTTTTCCAGACTTTACTAAAATTCAACAAACCACCTACAACATGGGTTCCCAAACTGGGAGGGCGTGAAGAAATTCCAGGGGGGGCGCGAGGCAACGTAGCCTCCCTCCAGCCTCCATCAAGTTTTGTTGCCCTGTTCGGTTCCTTTTTTCCTTGGTTTTTTTTTGCTCAACAAGTTTTGCTGCTATTGGTGGTGGGGGAGACGTGAGGGTTTTTCAAAAATCAAAAAGGGAGGCATGATGCCAAAAAGTTTGGGAAGCACTGACCTACAAGGATCACTTCAGCTCCCTTCAGAAGAAAAAGGACAATAAACTATCCAAACTGCTACATGCCTCAGGATCTTTCATTCCAGATACTTTCAACTCACCTAGCAACATAGTCAACCTATCCA